ATGTTGCTTTGTATCATGAGCTCTCTATGTGTATACATGGATTCATAGATGCATGTATTGTCATCATGTCATATTGACATGTCAACTAATTTCCACCTGTAGGCGGTCATCATGCATGTTGCTTTTCTCAAACTATTTAGCTAATTAACTAGAGCCTATTATATTTTTGATTGCTGCCTCTCTCCAATTACTGTTTCTGGTCAGGATGCAGTTATTTTGTGAATCACATATTTTTGAAGATCATGCTTGACCACTTATTTAGTAGTAGTTGATAGAGGCTGCTTAGGGTTGACTTACTCATTTTGAGGAGAATAATAGTTAAATGTATGTCTTTATTAATGTGACTCTAGAATATTCTTGCCTGTTTTTGCATTTAACAATCCCCTCCACTGCACGCTGTTACTTACAAGGTATTCTATTTATGCCTTCGATTCCCTAATTTTTTTTTTATTTTTATTTTTCATTGCAGGTGTCTTTGTTCTGTGAGTAAAAAGGCTGGGAATGGTGGTACTGTTGTTGAGTACCTCATTCAGTTATTTTTCAAACTATTGGATTCCCAAGCAACTGATAACAAGCAGGTTCATTACCAGAAATCTGTACTAAACACATTCTGTAATTGCGTTTGCATGCATGTTCAATTGTTGTTATTTCCACCTGCAATCTTTTGCCTAGTCAGATGCACATATTTTGGTTTTCTTTAGGTGCAACACAAGCAATAAAAGTGATAATTCCTAATTTTAAATTCCAGAAGATTACTTTGTATTTTTAGGTTGATTAAATTTAGAGGTCAGTTACTGTTGTGCAGTAATGCAAAATGAAACGGGTGATGTTGAAAATCTCAAACTTCTTATTATGTTCCTTTCTTTTTTTAATCCACCACCTGTGAATTTATTGATCAAAAATTGTGTTGGCAAGAAATCTTTATTTCTAGGATTATTAGAAACTTAGGTTATCATTTCCTTGAATCTTAATCTTAGTTGGCTTGAAGTAAACAGACATGCAAGCAAATAATAAAGCTTAAGTCAACACCTTTTTTTTTTGCAGCAAGTGGGGCGTTCGCTCTTCTGTCTTGGATTGCTAATCCGCTATGGAAACTCTTTGTTTAGTGGTCCCACTAACAAAAATATTGATGTTGCCAGCAGTCTTAGTTTGTTTAAAAAATATCTTCTAATGGATGATTTTAGTATAAAGGTTAGATCTCTGCAGGTAAGTCTTATTCTTCTCTACTCAGTTATACTGGAGTTTGCTTCAGTTTTCCAGTTAGCATATTTTAATATTATAACATATTCTTATGTTTCTATGGCTTCTCTTTTTAGGCATTAGGCTTTACTTTAATTGCTAGGCCTGAATATATGTTGGAAAAAGACATTGGGAAGATATTAGAGGCAGCATTAGCACCAAGTTCTAATGTTCGTCTTAAGGTAAAATTGTCCCATATCACTGAATTTCTCTATTTGCAAGACAGACACTAAACAATTCTGTCAACCAGATGCAAGTGTTGCAAAATTTGTTGGAGTATCTTCTTGATGCGGAAAGTCAAATGGGAACAGATAAAGCCAGTAATGATGCAGTTCATTATTCTGTAGAAGGTGGCCATAGTGTCCCTGTAGCTGCAGGTGCTGGCGATACTAACATTTGTGGGGGTATAGTCCAGTTGTACTGGGATAATATTCTGGGGAGATGCTTGGACTTTAATGAAGAAGTTCGCCAATCTGCCCTAAAGGTGAGAAATTGTTTACCTTGTCTGTTCTGTGAGGAAGCAGTTTTATTACTGGGGACTCAATCTAAACCTCATATCAGGAGAGTGAATAATGTAAAAGTTAAAGTAATTGATGGAGGGCAGTTAGTTCTGAGCAAGAATTTTGTAAAAATATTTGTGATCATTTTGTAGCTTGAGTCTTAAACCTATCATTTTGATAGAAAGTTGACTTTGAAAAAAGAAAAAGGAAAAAGGAAAATTGGTACCTTGAAAGTCTTACATGATTCCAATTTTGTTATCAGATTAGTGTGGGAAGCTGCACATATGATTCTCTAGTAGATGGTGGGCCTTATTAAGTCTAACCGACATGCTACTTGTTTCTTTGTTATTATTGCCTGTTTGGACTGATCATTTTCTTGATATGTTGTTGAAGCAGATAGTGGAAGTTGTGCTTCGGCAAGGTCTTGTTCATCCTATTACTTGTGTCCCATACCTCATAGCTCTTGAAACAGATCCTCTGGAAGTCAACCAAAAGTTGGCTCATCATTTGCTAATGAATATGAATGAGAAGTACTTCCCTTGTGCTATTAAAATTTTCTATGTCCTTTCCATTTGCTTAGCACATCTAATAAAAGCTTCATTTTTCAGATATCCTGCTTTTTTTGAAAGCCGTTTAGGAGATGGCCTCCAGATGTCATTTATCTTCATGCGTTCCATTAGTGGCAATGCCCGTGAAAATCTAAATGAAAAATCCCAATCCAAGTTTTCCGGAAATTTGAAAGGGAAATCTGATGCTGGGTCTTTAACACAAGCAAGGCTGGGAGTTTCCAGAATTTACAAGCTCATTCGTGGAAATCGGGTTGCTAGAAACAAATTTATGTCCTCAATTGTGCGCAAATTTGATAATCCTAGCTGGAATGATTCAGTTGTACCTTTCTTGATGTGAGTTAATCAATGCCAATTCTAAATTTTCTACCTCGCTGAGTAATTATACTGATATGTCTGTTACATTTTACAGGTATTGTACAGAAACTCTTGCTTTGTTACCGTTCTCATCTCCTGATGAGCCCCTCTATTTGATCTATGCTATAAATCGAGTGATACAAGTTAGAGCTGGGGCACTTGAGGCAAATATGAAAGCCTTGAGTTCAAATGTGCTAAAGGCAGATGCTCAGCAGACAAATAATGAAAACGGGACCGTTCAACTGGATCATAGTCAAACGCTGTTTTCAATTATATGGCTACAGTTGATTTGAATGGAACAATTCAGGAGGAGCCTGTTGTTCAGCCTGCTTTCTATCACATGACATCCATTGATTTGAATGGCGCAATCCAACAAAAGCTCACTCATGAGTCTATTTCACATTATACTCCTGCAGTGGAGACAACAATGCATAAAATGAACCATTCTGAAACTCATACTCTCTCCGAAGAGGATATGCAAAAAATCCAGGTACTTTTGAACCCTGCAAACCTTACTTTTTTATCCCCTGCAATGAATGCTTTTGAATTTTGCATAAACTCATTTTGCATGGAGGTCTGTATGCTTTGTTTGAGGAAAAAAAGGGCATTTTCTTCGATTGCTTCCAACGTACAGGGTTGCCTGCCATTTTGGTTTAATCTGTAGCATGTTCACTGGTTAATGATAATGTTTTTATTATTTTGACATCCTTTTGGTGCTATTCCAGGCCGACTGTCTTGCTGCTACTGCACTACAGCTTCTCATGAAGCTGAAAAGACACCTAAAAATTGTTTATAGCCTGAATGATCAAAGATGCCAGGTTAAGATTACGCTTATCCATGACTTTGCGTTTTGAGGCAATTTTTTTTTCTGCCTAAGTGAAACTATGAAACTGATTTCACATGTGAATCTTATTTTGTATAACTAGGCATTTTCTCCAAATGAACCTATAAAACCTGGGGATGTTCTCACGAGGCAGAACATTCCCTTTGACATCAGTGAAACACACACGAGCCTGCGTTGCACTTATCAAGATTTGGTGCAGAGATATCAGGTAATTTTAACATTTTAGGAGTCCTACTTGACAGAAGACGAGAGTATTGAAGTTCAATTCCATTGTAGTATCTTGGACATTAGTTCTTACTTGCTCTCATGTTGTACAGGAATTTAAAAACGCATTGAGGGAAGATAGTATTGATTACTCAATTTTCACAGCAAACATCAAAAGGAAGCGCCCAAATCCCAGGAGAGGAGGGAAAGCAATGCGCATGACTGGTGGGGATGAAGATGATGATTATGATGATGAAGACTGGAAAGGTGGTGTACGGAGACCGAGTAATGGTGGAAGGAAAAGTTACAGCGGTAGAGGCAGTAGGCAGCGATGGTAGATGTAAATACGATGACAGGTAGGCTAACATGTACATTAGGTTGAAGGAAAAGAATAGAAATTAGGATTAGGATAGGTTAAGAGCAAAAAGGATAGGGAGAATAGGAAAGAGAGGAAAGCAGGCAGGCAGGCAGGGGGATGCTTTTTAATTTTTGTTGTAGCTGTTTCCAATTTGTAATATTGATTTGGCTCTAGAGTCAGGATGTGCATTCTTTTCTAATAACCACTTGGTATTTTAGACAGATTTGTAACTTTTGTTCAATAGGAAACTCTTATGAGATAATACAGAAAAAGTAATGGAAATATATTGCCCTTCACTATTCAGATTGGATCTGATCTTGTAAATAATACTAACGGATTTATGATTGGGTCTCTTATGTATAACAGGATTGCAAGGTATATTCCAAAGTAAATGAGCAAAAATAATGTAACCAGTTTAATACATGATCCAGGGTTGCTTGTGTAAATGATACTTATGCTTAAAGGAGCATTGGGAAGTAACGAGCCCAAACTTCTTCAATTCTTTCAATCCCAACTAAAAGTCAAAACGAAACTTCCAGCTCTTTCACACGGTTATTGGAACAAGTCTCCAAATTATCAAAAGAATTTAAATAAATATTTATTATATTTTATTCAATTTATACATTTCTATTTTAAATCAAATTTCATAATTAAAACATAATATTAATATATCATATCATATGTCAATATAATAAATTATGTTAAGATCATATGACATAACAAATAATATTTTTACGAATTATTTTATTAATTATACAAACTTATTCAATTCAAAATAAAAATACAAAAACTTAATTAAATTTTAAAAAATAAATTTTAAATAGTTCAAAAAAATTATTTTTAAATATATAAAACAAAACTATAACATCTTTACTGGGTCTTTATTTTTAATTTAACAGGGAAGCAACAATTGGACAAAAAAAGAAAAGAAATTGTTGAGAAAGACAGAAGTGGAATAAGTTATATTGGCTAAACGTTCAAAGCTAAGCACAAAGAGTTGAATCTCGTAAGAGAAGTCTTGTGCCTTGCCTAGTTCTAAGTATCAAACATAACAGTATAATTCTCAGAAGCACAAGAGAAGCAGTATTAGTTCAAAAATTACAACAGTAATTTGGATAAGATTTATGTGTAAAACCCAATAAAGATTAAACCAAAAACATCGTCTGCCACAGAGCTTGAAACAGGTGCTTTCCCAAGTTATTCAGGGCACAATCACAAATAGAGGCTGCAGTCAGAAATACAGGAGATTCAGACTAATACTAAAATATATAAATATATTTAGAATGAGAGAGAGAGAGAGAGAGGGGTTACCAAGTCTACACTAACTGATTTTCCATCCTCTACCAATATCTCGCTTATGGTTCCGGATTGGTCAGCCTGAGAAACCAAAAAATTAAGAATGAATAAAGAGTACAAAGAATTTAGAGACATCAAGAGTTCCAATGAATTATGAACCATCTATGGTAACACTAACAAGATAAATTATTGGCAATATTTAACTTTAAAAAATTGGTACATACTACTCGTGATTCTACTTTATTTTTCTCATATTAACAGCACACTAAAATTTCTGAATCTTCAAGGGGAGCCTGTATATTAAGTTAGAAATAAGCGTATAAACATACTTCAATTTCATTCATCAGTTTCATAGCCTCGATGATGCAGACAACTTGACCTTTCTGTACTTTATCTCCGACCTGAAAGACCCAGCTGAAAACTGTTAGAATCCTTGTTCACATGAATATTTTTGTTGAACAAAAATTCTAGACTAAATTATGCATCAGCTTTTCCTGCTCTTAAGGCAAGGAAGCTCTCAGCTGGTACGCCATTAACAGAAGCCTACAAGCACTTACCTTGACAAATGGTGGTTCACCTGGTGCAGGACTCCTGTAAAAGGTTCCAGCCATGGGGCATTTGAAGGCAGGATGAGATGAACTGCCTGTTTTAGCAGGGGGAGGTGAGGAAGGTGCTGGTGCTGGAGTGGCTGGGCTTACAGGAGCAGGAGCTGCTATTGGGGCTGCAGGAGGTGGAGTTTGAAACATTGCATGAGGCATGTATTGTGGCATGACGATGGGAGGCGCTGGTTCTGGCGGCTGCAAAGCTTCCTTCTTTCTTATTACAAGCTCGCAATCTGACTGCTTCAGTTGCAACTCTGTAATATCTCTTGAATCAACAAGTCTGCTCATCAAAGATAACATCAACATTGATTATGAAACTGGTGCTTCTTGTAAAGAACACATTTATTGCAAGTAGTCGCAAAATAAGGAGATGCTTCAACTTACTTAACAAGGTCTGAAACTTGCGTCATGAATGCTGAGATTGCTGCAACATCTGGAATAGTGTTCTCTGAAGATTTATCATTTTCCTTGGGCAACTCAACTTTAGGCTTCGCATCAACTACTGGTATAGAATTTGAGGATTTCTCTGCAGCAACCTTAAGTTTACAAAGTTGGTTTAGTAAACATTACGGAAGATCTCATCTAAATATTGAAATTTCAACTTCACTGCAAAAAACTCACCTCATTAAGTTGCGCATGCCCCTTGAATGCAGTAGTTTGCTTCCCATTAGACCACTGCAAATGAAAGCCAGATCAGGAAACAACCAGCAAATTTAAACATTTTAGCAAAATCACTGCATATCGCCCACGTGTTAGTTGCATCACGACAAAGCAAACGCTGCTTACGCATACACGCTTTTTGTATTGGGACAATTCAATTGCAAAAATGAACTTCTACGTGTGATATAGCAAGATTTTGTCAAAACACCAGTGTTGGATAGAAGCCTTCAATATGGCCACTCTAACCACGCAGGAGAGAGAGATAGAGATTAGAATATGAGTTGCCATTCTCATGTAAGCAATACTTCAAGAAAGCAAAAACATATTAACTTTTATTTTAAAACACTGGACATACTGACAATTCAACAAGACAAGCTGAGATTTCGGGCAGAAATAAGTATATATAAAAGTCTATTAATAAGTCAAATACAATAACTTTTACAGGGAAAGAAAGCATTTTGCCATTGATTTATAGTTTTTTTCTTTCTTAATTTTTTCAATTTAATTTCTTTTTTGCCTCGTTATTATATATTTCTCAACCATGGATGGTTCATAAGTTTAGAAAACAAATTTGGCATAAACAGAGGAAAAGAGAAAAAAAAATGATCCTTCAGTTTTTAAATTAAAAGACTACTTAATCACATTTAAAAACTATAAACAAACCATTCGAGCATTATTCAAACTAAATCCCAAAAACCAGATCTCTAACCACAACCATTACCATATTATCAAAAACCCGTCAACCCAAATCCCACCCTGTTTCAAACAAAACCAAAAGGTTCAACTTTAAGAAATTAAACTTTAAAAGGAAAAAAAAAAGCATGAAACTAACCTGACATCTTGAAAATGCAGGTACCAGGATTGAAGATCCAAATGACAGGGAAGACTTGGAGCTAGACTTGGAACTTTGAGGAAGAGGCAAAGAGATCCTTTGAGTTTGGCTTAGTTGATTTGTTCCTAAAAAAGAAGAGATCTTGGGGCATGGAACCGAGATTGAAGAAGCCATGTCTATTGCGTTGCAACGCAAACCCAGAGATGGTTATAGCTTTATGGATAATATATATAGAAGAAGAAAGAGAATCGTGGGGAGGGCGATGAGACTTAGGAAAGGGGAGAGAAATCTGAGGAAAACAAAAGAAGAAAACAAATGTGGGTTTGAAAGGGAAGAGGGAAAGAAGGGAAGAGTTGAATGTGGATATATACATATGTATTTATTTATTTATGTTGGGTTTGTTTTTGTTTCCGATAGTTACGAAGAAGAGAAAGAGAGGAAAGGGATCAATGTCGTGGCTTTAACTAACCTCAACTACATTCACCTCACGATCTCAACCCACAGCCACACGTGGCCTGTCGACTGTCTGACAACAGGGTTTCCCTCCAACTTTTATTTTTCTCTCATAATTTCTTCAATTTTGGATTTTAAATTATTGGTTGAAACCTTAAGGTTTACAATTTTGGTCAGGGTAGGGTAGGATTTATTTGAGTTTTATGGCTTTGGCTTTTCCCCTAGATGTGAGTACCAGTACAAAGGGAAAAGAAGACGACGACTGCTTATGCAAGCCAATCTGCCTGTTTTTCATTCCTCTTACTTTGGGCTATCGGATGACAGGTGACAGCTACTTGTTAAAGGACACAATACGTACACCTCGAAAGCCATCTTCTATGAATCAATCTTTCTCCAATTGACAAGGAAATGCATTTGGTGCTAAATAGTAATAATAAGAACAAGAATAATTCAATTCATAGTTTGATTAGCTTCTTTGCCTACTACTAAAAAACACACGTGTGGGATTAATATATTTTTGTTGATATCATCCGAGGGTTTATATGCACCATGTGACTCGTAGTGACATATTTAAATCAGTGGTTGTTGACCAATTATTCTGAATGAAAGTGATGCATAGGTCGCAAACAGGCAGCTCAACCGCCAGCAGTCACACCGAATAATTTCAGCTCCAACATAAATGCCATTTAGAGCTAAGATCCAACTATATAAATGCAACTCAACATATCAACATTACGGCATCAGTTACCTTGTTTTGCAAAAGAATTTCTCCTGATTCTCAGCACATACACTGAAGACAGCATGCTTATTACAGAATAACAACAAAGTTACAGAACCAAGAACCTACAAAATGAATAGAAATGCCACCCTTGGGTGTGTTTCCGGAAACTTTTGGTCCTGTAAAAGTGCCAAAATGTTTGGTGATTGCCCAACAAGGAGAAGATCCATGGACAAAAAAGGAAACGGAAAACAATCTAATAACGGTTCCAGTAGGTTCTGCGTCTGAACCAGTTGTAGTCAGGCAAACCCTGGATGGGGCCCATGGCAGCAATTGCGACATCCTGCAAACACCAAACATAGACGGCTTTAATATGTGATATCCTGCCCTTTCAACATCTCATCCCACCAACATTCTTTTGTTTTTGACTCCATTCCAGTTAAAGCAACAAAAGTGTGAATAGTAAGTGCTAGGTTGGGTTGTAACTCATACCCTGTCATAGATAAATCGGTTTGCAACACGTTTAACAGTGCTTGGATCAACAGCATCAATCCTAGAAAATAGTTCAGCAAATGGGATTCTCCGACCATATGTAAGCAGCTGCAAGGATGGGGAGATTAACACAAATACAAAATTAAAATATGAGTAATAAATGATCGTATATGTTATGCCTTGCCACAACTGCTCAAGCACTGCTACTATCTGGCGTGTATGTTGTGCAACGTGGTCAGTATGAAACAACTCTACTCTTTTAAGGTCATACAATTCTGTATGATCAAAAGAATCTTGCTTCTAGTTATTAAGAATTCTCCTTGAATCATTTACAACTTTATGTGCTTAAAAACAGCTTATGTGCAGATTCAAAATATAAAATTTGTACCACTAGAATTTAAAATCATTCTACTATGGAAGAAAAATTCGTACCTGGCGCCCAATATCTTCAGCTACAGGACTAGTTCCATCTATGTGAAGCATCAAGGATGACTTCAACTGCAACAAGAAGGAGCTATAGTAGTTAAGTACATGGCTAGATAGATTGACAGGTTATTAACAGGAGAAAGATAATATTCACTATTTATAGAGCATAGGCCTTAATCCCATACAGAGATCCGAGAGTGTTAACATTCAACAATGCATTGAAGAGTGAGAGGATGAAAAGTGACATGAGAAAATGAAAAGATATTAGCTAGCACAGGCATCATAGTGATATTTAACTAAGAACAAGAAAAACTTTGTGACATCGATTTCCACTGAAGGGTATAGTTTCTCTAGTATTGCACCATAACATGAATAATAAAGACCAAAAATAACAAATACTAATGAACTATTTCAACCAAAATCTAAAACAAAAATCGAGCTCTTTAAACAAAATCTGCACTCACTAGTGCATTAAATTCAGCTTTAGTTATTAATGTAGACGTGCAAAATCAACTATTGGCAGCTGGTTTTATACTATCAGCACACTGCTAGAAGTTCTTAAAACAATAGAAAATGTCAAAAATGTCAAAATTGGTATCTATCAAAACCGAAGAAAAGATAGCCGCATTTGTAGCTACCTGGTTACGAGCACGAATGACATCAGCTTCTGAAACACGATGAGCTAGCTTGGTTGCCTCATACATAATAGCATATGCCAAATCATCCAAACAATCAGGCTGAAAATAGAACATAAAACTTAATATTTTATTCATAAAGTAAAAGGTAGAATAAAATGAAAAGAAATATAAAAACATTACACAAATAGAACAGCATACAGGCAATCACTCACACATGCAAAACAATTTAGGTAAACTAATGTAAGTGGGGGGATGGGGAGACAACAACCAGATAAGGTGTAAAGGCTGATAGACAATGAATTAAAAGTATCTATAATGATATCAAAGAATAAGGCAATTTTATAAACCAAAAATGTCAATTATAACTAATACAAATTGATTATTTTTTTAATCAATTTTGTTCAGATCATAATAAAATATTACAGAAATGGGCAGCAACCTCACCTTGGCAACAGCATAGACACCGAAAAGACCAGTATCTTTGTAGTTTGTATTGAAAGCCATCATGCTTTCTGCAATTTCATTAATGCCAACTCTTTGCGCCAGCTCAGAGCTGTTAAAAGGATTTTCAAAACTAATCAAGACATTATTGCAACAGAAGAGCCTCATCTTGAGACTGCCAAAGCGAAGTTAATTTTAAAATGTGATTCCGCCTAATGAAAAAGCTCACCCCATGTGCTTTCCACCCCCAGCATTTTTGCTCCATGAACCAAGCATTGCCTGCATAACCATTAGTGAAATGGAATCTGGATCTGTCCAAGATGCTCCCTCAAAAGCAACCGCAAATTGCGCTAGAGGAATATCATCATTGATCATTCTAACCTGATTTTTTCAAAATATGAAAATAATACCTTAGAAGGGATACCACATTGAAAGTGAAAATTAATGAATAAAAAAGGTTTAAAAATTTATTGTCATGGCACCCCCACCTCAGAACCAGTAAAAGTAGCTGGTCCGTTCACAACTAACTGAGAAGCAGTGGTTGGATCAGCTGATAACTTGGTAAACAACTTCTTTACTTGCTCAACAACTTCCTCATGCTTAACAGCTCCAGAAGCAGCAATGACCTGAAAAGTTACCACAAAACACATATTTATAAGAACCTACAAACAACTAGTCTTGCACCAAGTACCTTACAAGATGTTCTAGGAAATCAACGAAATAACAAGATATTCATCAGTTTTAAGGACTTTGTCGTATCATATTAAATGAGGATACACAAGAAGGTACAGTAGCTCTTTGCATACCATTCTAGGAGCAGTGTAGTGTGTCTGAATATAGTTCTGGAGATGCTCTTTGGTGATTGTCTTAATATTTTCAGCAGGCCCGAGAATAGTTCTACCAAGAGGAGTGTATTGGAACGCAGTTGAATGCAAATGGTCAAAAATAACTTCCTCAGTTTGACCTTCAACCTACAAAATCCCCCCAGACAATAGCTTCTTTATGAATAAACATCATAGAACAAAGAACAAGTGCATTTGGTGAAACCAAAACAACATTTTTAATATAGAAAATAGTGATAATAAACATCCCTATAATGCTTGAGAAGATATCATTTCACACCCCAACCACTAAAAACACCAACCTAGAGAATATACTTAACATATCATTTTCTCAATAAAAAAACACAGCAATTTTTATTACAACCAAATAGTCAATGCAGATCTATTTCTAACCCCAAAAATTCCTATACAGCACATGTTGCCAATAAAACACCAATCATTGCCAAATGCGTCAAACAAAGCAAACAGCTCCAAATCAAAGGCTAAGGAACTACCTTCACCTATTAGCAAAACAGAAGCAAATTATTTTCACCAAATAACATACTTATCTATACTTTTACCCTTAAGATTAAATCCCTTCCATGCTAATTCTACATGCCAAGCAAAAGCACAAAGAACCCAATTCCTATTACCTCCTCTATTCCCTAAAAACAGATATAATACAGTCTAAATCAATCGATCACACATATCAGAATCCATTCTAAATCAATCAATCAAACACATAACCAAAAGCCACATTAAAGAAAATCCAAAATCCATCTTTTTATTACTTCCACCATCTACCCTAAAATCACCTCCTTCTCCATACTAATCCTATGCTTGTCAAACTTTACATCTTTCATTTCCTTAAGATTATATACATTCCGCAAAGTTGACATTTTAAATCCAACACCATCAATCTAGTTACTATTTACCTCCTAAATGCCAAGCAAAAACACAAACAAACCAATTCCGATTCCCTCCAATATTCCCTGAAAACAGAGTCAATGTTTTCTAAATCAATAAAAAAATACATATCCTCCAAAACCCATTTAAAATTCCCCCAAAAATCCAAATTTT